CCCGCCAGCCCGTTCCCACGGGCGCGGCCGCTCCGAATCGTGCCGGGCGCTGGCCGGGTCCCGCCGCTCCCCCTGTGCGCGCCCCCTCTGCTCCTGGTCTTTGTTCGGCTTCACCCTTCCTCCGGTAGCTCTCGCTGCGCTGGGCACAGACTTCCTGTCGGTCAGCAGCCGCCGCGATTGCAACACAAGTTGCAGCCAAGTCACAAACACTGGGGTCACCCGGGCTCCAGGGGAGGAGCGCGCCGGCCGGGGCGAGCCGCTCAGGTAAGGCCTCTGCAGCGCACCGCTGGTGTGAGTCTCCCACAGGCTCCCCGGGGGACCCCCGTCCGCTCGCAGTGCAGCCACCCCCGTAGCCGTGGGGCGGCAGAGTTGTAACAGGCGGCAGAATCGGGCCCCCTGCGAGCTGGCTCCCTAGAAAATATCAATCGGATTTTGTTGTTTGGATCCGGCCGGAATAAGAAGCCAACGGGCTTGCATTGGCCGAAACTAACAGGCAGCTAAAATGTTTTCCTAGGCGAACCCATCTTTGATCTTCCAGTCCGGCCTCCTGCCTGACACAGGCCGGAGAATTTCACCTAGTGATGCCTGAAGCCAGTCCAAACAGGAGTGACCGGGCACGTCTCTTAGCCAGACATCCAGACTTGAGTGGAAGATTCCCCGAGATGGAGAGATTAGCGCTGCTAATCCCGTCCCATGTTAATTACCCTCGCTGGTAAAAATACGCTGTGGTACTTCAGTGACACTATTTCCAGCCATCGGATCTTGTTGTGTCTTTGTCTGCTAGATTAAAATACCTCGGGAGGGAATTCTGGGCTAGGATCATGTCACGTCTGTTGCTGGCCCACTTAGAAATGGATCTTTAAAAAAATACACATGCCAGAATCAAAGCAGGGTTGGTTGTTTTTTCTTTGTTTTTCAATTAAAGCATTCCAGGTCATTTTCTCCATTATTGTCCTGTGCAACATTGTATTCCATTCCAGTCACACAGCCAGGCTACTCCAGCGGGGACAAACGATGCATCTCGTTAATGTCTGGTTTTGCAGTTCATGCCACTGAATCCAAAAGAGTTCTCATGGGCAGTTTTCTGTCTACTTATCCTGTCGGTGACCCATGTGATGGTCGGTATCTGAGCACTGTACATTGGCAACAGTTCCACCCAACTAGCCGTGCAATATGTGCCCCTCTCGGCTGCACTTTGACTGCTCTATCCAAATGTTTACACATCTCCCATTTCCAACTTTCAAAATCACACTTGCAGTAATTTCCTACTACCTGCTCCATTAGCCCCTCCATAACAGAATCCCTCCAACGTCCTGTCCCTTCAGCATTCCCGATGTCCTATTCCTGGGGCAACCGCATCCCTCAGCAGCCTGGAACCTCGGCAACGGAGTCCTCAACTTCCTGTCCCTTTGGCCACAGCATCCTCCAGTAACCCATGCTTTTCTCATGTCTGCCTTCATGCTTTCCATCCTGATGCAATTCTGGGAAATGATTTCCTATGAGTATGTGGCCCTGTGAGTCAATAGTCCAATGGACAGGGCAGACGACTTAGATTCCACCACTGCCAATTTGTGACACCTTGGCAAGTCACTTAACCGTTCTGTGCCTCAGTTTCCCCAGCTGTAATATGGAGGTAATGATGCTGCCCTGCCTTTACAAAGTACTTTGAGATCTGCCAATCTATTAATGCCAACTATTAATACTTAAAATGCCAACTATTACTACAACAAATGCGGCTGATTTTAATTTTATCCTCATTTTTTTGAAAAAGTTCACCTCTCTGTGCCTTTGTTTTCTTAGCTAAATTATGGGACAACTCTATGAAACTTAATTCAGTAATTAACATCTGTAAATTGTCTTGAGAACCTAAGATAATAAAAAAGACTCCATAAAAGGGAAAAATATTCTCACTGTGAACCCCCACTTCTCCCTCAGGGTACATCTAGACTGCAAGCTTCTTTCGAAAGACAGCATCCACACCTCAAAACCGTATCGAAAAAGCGATCTGCTTTTTCGAAAGAGAGCGTCCAGACTGCATGGACACTGTCTCGAAAGAAAGCACTGATTGCAATTCACAGAATAGCCACCAGGGCACCTGCGCTTTTTTCAATTGCCTCTTCTTTTGAAAAATGTCCCTGTACTGCGTCCACACACAGCAGAACTCTTTCAAAAAAAGGCATTCTTCCTCATAATTGGAGGTTTACCAATGTAAAAAAAAAACCTTGCGTTCTTTCGATTTAATTTCGAAGGAACGCAATTGCAGTGAAGTTTTTTCGAAAAAACAATGTAGTCTAGACATACCCTCAGTACCTCCTCTGCAGAGATAGGAATCTGTTACAGCCGCACCTCCAGAGCCTTTGCTCTTTAATGGAAGCTATAGTGGCTCAGACTTATAGTGGCTCAGACTTCTCTGGAGGTCCCTGGTTCAATTCCTGGTGTGACAGCCAACAGGCCAACCGATCCCATTAGCACAAGCAATGTTGTCAATAGCACATGGAATAACATCTTGCCTTTCTTTTTGCTTTAATCCAGCATACTAAACTCCCAGGACTGCCTAAATTATCCCGAAGGATACACTGGGAACAGGAGCCCCACAGGAGGAACTAGAAAATGGAGTTCTGAATGTTAAAAGAAGATCTCTGCTGTTGGGATAAAAGAAAACTCCAGGAGTAAAATGCAGCCCCAGGAAGAAGCAGAACCATTCAGTTAGCCCCACAACCCTTGTCACCACCGTGTCTGCCCTGCCCTGTGTTGTCAGCCTCTCCTCCTGGTCAGCAGAGCAACATGGGCTCATCTGCTGCCCTTTGACTCTTGCCTCCTTGGTGACTTTTCTGGAACTGCTCCTTGCCAAACCTTCCAGCTATCGCTGCTCATCTCCTCCGTCACCCTAGCAGCTGCCTGGCCTGCCAGCCACAGAAGAAACTCCTCCACGTGCTGAGTGGCACCACCATGAAAGACCCTGCAAAACGTGCAGCCCAGAAGACTCATACGTGCCCAGATTGTGGGAAATCCTTCAGCAAGAAGGGGAACCTGAAGAGACACCAGCGGATCCATACCGCAGAGGAGCTCTACCCGTGTGGCGAGTGCGGGAGGCGCTTCACCACGAGGGGACACCTGACCACCCACCAGAGCATCCATACGGGAGAGAGGCCGTTCCAGTGTGACGAGTGTGGACGGTGCTTCCGGTTGGAGATATGCTTGGCTGCCCACCAGAAGACACACACCAAAGGCGGGCCGTATATCTGCGCCCACTGTGGGAAGAGCCTGAGCACACGCATCTACTTCAGCATCCACATGAGAACCCACAAGGAAAAGCGGCCGTACGCCTGCACCGAGTGCGGGAAGAGCTTTGTCAAGAAGGGGACGCTGACGGCACACAAGGAGATACACAAACGGGAAAAGCCTTTCAAATGCCCCGACTGCAGCCGGTGCTTTGGTCAGAGTGCAACCCTTGTGGCTCACCAGAAAATCCATCTTCGCGGCGGGCCATTCATATGCACCGAGTGTGGGAAAAGCTTGAGCACTAAGAGGTATTTTAATGTCCACCAGAGGAACCATGCAAAGCAGAGGCTGCAGGAAGCCACTGGACACGTCAACAGCATGCCTCTCCGGGTCATCCAGATTAAAGAGGAACCGGACGTGGCCTTCAAACAGGAGGATAGTTTTAATCTGGGGAAGAACATTGCAATGCCAGGAGCTCATTCAGAAGATGGGCCCCAGGAAAGTTCTGACTGTGGAACTCAATCCAGCCCAAAGATGCCTCCTAGCACTCCGTGGGGAATCCAGACCAAGGAGGAGCCAGACACGTACCCCGAACACGAGGGAAACATCATTGCAGTAGCACAGCAGAACTCTTACATCAAGGAAGAGCCACAGGCAAGCCCCGACTATGGCAGCCAATTCAACCCAAAGATGCTTCTTTTGCCTGCGTGGGGAATCCAGGCCACAAAAGAAGCTGAGGTGGACAGCGAACACAAGGAGGATATTGTGAAAACCCGCATCAAGGAAGAACCGCAGGACAACACCGACTATGAAAGCAGCTTTAGTCAAAAGATCTCTCTTGGCACCTTCCAGAGGATCCAGATTAAAGAGGGAACTGGAGCCGATGGAGAATATGGGGAAAGCTGCAGCCCAAAGAAAAAACGTAGACGACGCCAGAGAACCAGCGAAGAGGGGACTCCTGGTTCACGTCCGGACAGACAGGCAAACACAAAATGCAAGAAAAGTACCTTGACGAAGGAGAGTCCCAAAGCAGAGAGAATATTTCCCTGTCCCGAGTGCGGGAAAAGCTTCAATCAGAAGTCGAATCTTACTAGGCACCGGAAGATCCACACCAGTGAAGGGCCTTATAAGTGCAATGAATGTGGGGAGAGCTTCCGGATGAACAGAAAGCTCATCAGGCATCAGAGAATCCATGTGAGCGAGCCCTTTAAATGTACCGAGTGTGGGAAAAGCTTCACCCAGCGGTCGAACCTCGTGAGGCACCAGCGGATTCACACCCGGGAGGAGCCGTACAAATGTCCCGAATGCGAGAAGACCTTCAATCAGAAAGCCAACCTCTTCAGGCACCAGACGATCCACATCAGGATGGGGCCGTGCAAATGCACCAAGTGCGGGAAATGCTTCACGCAGAAGAAGAACCTTATCAGACACCAGACGCTGCACTCCAGGGGCGGGGCTTATAAATGCATGGTGTGTGGGAAACGGTACAGGCTGAAGAAGTATCTGAGGAGGCACCAGAAAATCCACATGAGAGAGGGGCCTACCGGGCGCGCAAAGCGGGGGGAAAAGCTGGGGGTGGTGGCGAGCGTTAGCAATCACCACCAGACCCACCCAGAACAAAAAGCACTCCCAGCTGTGAAAAGCGAGGAGAGTTTAACTGCTGAAGGCAACCTCTAGCTGCAAAGCCCCCAAAGCAAGGTGATGAGCTTGGACCAAACTCTGCAGTCCTTAGTGGAGCAAAACTCTTGCTGTAAACCTGGGGTGGGGAACCTAAGGCCTGGGGGCTGGATGTGGCCCCCAGCTCGCCTGGATCCGGCTCCTGAGGATTGGGACTCCTGGCTGGATGTGGCCCCCAGCTCGCCTGGATCTGGCTCCTGGGGATTGGGACTCCCCCCTAGCATTGGGGAGCCCACACTGGTGCTTCAGCCTCCCCACCTTTCCCCGTGTGGCTGGAGCGCACAAAATCTACTAGCCCGGGCCCCACAAGACTCTGGTGTGTGAGGGGGATGTGGGGAGTGTCTTTCTCATTCACAGGCAGGGGCCATGTCAGTGAGGGGTTGTTTGTTTGGTTTTTTTTGCTTCTCACTTGTGTGCAGTCCCTGACTGATTTTTCTGTGGGTCAGCAGCCCCTGACCCATAAAAGGTTCCCCACTCCTGCTGTAAACGGAGGGAGGCAATGTGGCTGGGATTCAGGAGACCTGCTTCTACTTCCTGGCTTTGTCACTGGTTTTCTGGGTGGCCTGGGGCTAATCAGTTTCCTTCCCTATGCCTCAGTTTCCCCCTCTGTAAAATGGGGTTAATGATACTGGCCACATTGGTAGGTATTACTAGTATTAACCAGAGATTGCTCCATTGAAGAATGCAGAGATTAGCCCAGTCTGCCTCCAGCCTTTGTGCAGGCTGAACGTATCCAGGACCAAAGCATTGATTTCCATTATACTGTTTTGCTTCTGGAAAAGAAACGGGGACTCTATCTGCCGAGCCTGGCTCTGAGAAATGGGGCTTGCTCACGCTATTCTAACACAGACATTGACAGCGGAGTCAGCTCGGGGGTTGAGGCTTGGGATGAAAAGCAGCAGACGTGCAGGTCAGTGTTTCCACACTGGGGAGGCCTGAGATTTGGCCGAGAAAGGTGTGTCAGGCTGGGCACCTCATATAGAGACACTCAAAGTGGCCAGTTTTGGAAAGTGAGCAAATGCTGCTCTCCCAGTATATCTACACTGCAGCTGGATGGGTACTTTCTGGCTTGGGTTGATGTACACGTGACAGCTTTGAAAGACAAGGAATCCCCGGCCATCCAGCACCACTTGGAAGACCAAATAGCAACTCCATGAAACACACAGTTCTCTTAGCACTGCCCTAGGTCAGCATCAACTGGGTCCTTCCTCGTTCAAAGACAAGGCCAGGCTGGAAGTTACCCCCGGATCAGGGACAGGTCACAAGGGGATGAGGGAAGAGTCACAGGAGTTTATGACACATGAACCACATCATGAAGGGAGAGACGAAGGGCTTGTCGACCCATGAACTGCTAGAGGCACCACTGTAGCGCTTCCGTATAGATGCTACCAACAGAATGGGGTCTCTCATTGGCATAAGTGATCCACCTCCCTGAGAGAGGGTAGCTAGGTCAATGGAAGGTAGCGCTGTCTGCACAGGGCTTCTGGGGGTAAAACCACATTGCTTGAGGGGGAATGTTCACACTCCTGAATGATGTAGCTCAGTTCACCTGGTTTTCCGGTGTAGACATGGGCTGAGTTGCTAAAACCAGCAGGGTAGCCACAAGAGTGCAGATCTCAGAGTTGTGCTCTGGTGGCTAGCCTGTGCCACTGACCATACCCTAAAAGTAGTTCAGTCAGAGCTAGCACACGTACTCCTGCCCAAGCTGGAGATTACACCTTCGCTGCAGGGGAAACGTGCTTTCGGCTCTATCCATGCTCACCTGTTGCCTGGGCATAAGCCAGAGCAGCAGTCTTCCTCTTGCTAGGTCTGTGACTAGAGGAAAGAGAGGGATTTTGAATGTTCCGGGCATTATTTAGGGATTCAAGAAAGAAGCAATCAAAATGCCTGAGACAGGCAGCAGCCCTTGTGAACTGGAGCCTCTATGGACAAGAAGAGCGGAAACCGTTTCTCCTTTAGTTAGGTCTGGTTTTGTGCGCTGCAACAAGGCTTGGGGGCAAGGAGCCAAGTTCACTGCTCTTTCTTGCTCTCTGTGACTTGGTTAAACACCTGTCAGGGATGGTCAAGATAATACTTAGTCCTTCCATGAGTGCGGGGGACTGGACTAGATGACCTCTCCAAGTCCCTTGCAGTCCTATGATTCTGTAATGGCCGGTGTATTCCTCAGACTGTGGGATCTTTTAATGCAGTGGGTTGGCTGTCAGGGGGCATCCTTAGGGCTTGAAGAACCTTGGCAGACCAGAGATCTGGAGGGAGCCTGAGACCATCACAGCCACACGCTGTGCCCAACCGCCTGGGTGTTCTCAGCAACATTGCTTACGTGGCTCAGGGGAACACGGCAGCCGAGGGGCATGTGCTAAGGGTCACTGCATAGCGGGACACGTGTAGGAGTGGAATCAAGTCATGGTCCATTATGAGGCGTTAGTTCTACACCTTGATTTTGTAGATGAAAAGGAAGCATCTCCTTCATCTCATTCCCCCCAGAGAGGCTGCACACAGTGGGTTTTGATGTACCCCCATGGCATAGGTGTTGCAGGTGGCACCTCGCAGGGATGGATGAGCCCAAGGGTGGGGGGGGAGACCCATGCCTGGGCAGGAAGGCAGGCAGCTGTACAGGGAAGGGCAATTCTAATCTCTGTCTCCATAGGAACCACACGATTGGAGGTGGCCTTAGGAGATCAGCTGAGTCAGTCCATCTCCTGGATGGTCGAGTCTACGTAGTGCGTTATGCACACTGGTTGTCAGTCTCTTGGGACTTGATCCACGCCAAGAGGACGGTCAACCTCGAGGAGCATGGAGACTGCATTGCACGAGAAGAACATGGTGCAGTGTGGGCAGTGAATCTAGAACAATGTGCCAGGCCTCCCACAGTGGGGAATATACCAGAGCTCCTCCTGTGAGAGCCATGTGTAACCAAGAGAATTATTTATCCTCCCCCTTCTTCGGATGTAATCGTTTTCTTCTCATTAGACTAGTTTTGTGGCCTAGAGATTTACCCCAAGGGAGGCAGCTGTGCCTGAGGGTTTCATTTTGTGTGTCGATACTTCCTTTCATAAAATTCCTAGAACCATAAGCTGCCCTCAGTCCAGCGACTGCGCTTTCCCTAGCGTCCCTGGGCATTGCGCCATGGACCGAGGGCAGCAGCCGGACCTCAGCTTGTGAGGGATACCAGTACTGATAGATTGTAGCCATCTCCTCAATAAAGTAAGTAAGCCAACCAAACCAAAAGCAGGCCTGCGTTTTGCTTTGCCCCGCTGGTCGCTCATGGCAGCATGGACTGCCCCAGACCAACAGAACTGCGGGTGATGAGTAGTTGAGTGAAATAGATTTCCGGTGTCAATGATCGGTTGCTCTCCGTTGTTCTTCATGCATACTCCAATGCGTTTGTGACAGCTGGTGTTATATAACAGTGTTTCTCAACCTTTTTTTCTTATAAAGTCTCCCTTTAATAAAAAATACACAAGTACCCCCAGTACCTACAGTTTTATACACACAATTTTTTTTCTATCATAGCCAGGTGGCCGATGAAATTTTTGGGTGTAAAAAGTACAAAAATAATAAAGTGCTGTAAAACTTGAAACAAAGTCAGTTTTCTCCAAATTTCAGTTGTCTTGAAGTCCTTCGCCCCCCTCCCCCCAACTTCTCTTGAGTATCCCTAAGAGTACTTATACCACTGGTTGAGAAACACTGTGATATATACCCATTGCAGAGCTATAGATTGAGGGGGGTTCTACTCTATAAAAAAAGTATTGCACAGCTCAGCAAGTTGACGGAGCTGACATTTTTACGGCCCAGCTCCGCAGCCAGTGGGTGGGACACAACTTGACAGAGAACATGGTGGGATAATGGGGTGCTGCTCCTGTGGCCTAAAGAATGGCTAACGTATTGGGCTGGGACTCCACTGGCATAGGCGCTGCTCCCACCTCTGCTACTGCTGTGCGTGGAGGACATGGTCAAGTCAGTGCTCTGTGCCTCAGTTTCCCCTTCTGTAAAATGGGGCTAAAAGTACAGTGCACCTTGTGATCTGCTAATGAGAAGTGCTGTATCAGAGCAGAGCTAAGCTTTTTTATTGCGGCTTCCCCAGGGCCTCATGGAAGCCTGACATATCATGGAGACAACTGTGCTCCCCAGAGAGGGTGTCGAATTCTGGGCTGGTGTTCGCTAGGGTGTTGCACTGATCTGTCCTCTTGGACCTCTGAGCCAGGAAAATAGCCCATCAGGCATGCTCACAGAGCACCCTCGGTAGCGGGCACACTGCCAATGGGAGTACAGAACCGGAAAATCAGGGAAACTGGCAGTTTCATTGCCTGGATACCTCCCAGAGGCAGGAGTGGGTGATCCCACTCCCTGTCCACTCTGTGCCCTCTTCTGGGCCCTATCTGAAGGGTTCATTGCCCGGATCCTGCAGCAGGTCAGCATCTGAGCCCCTCTCACTGCAGTGACATAAGGCAGCTGGTCCCTGCACTGAGAGCTTGCCCTATGGCATTCTGAGCTGCCTTGGATCTGCGTGGGCAGCTGGCCCTTGGGGTGGCTTGGCTTGTTTGTGGGGGAAAGGCACCACCCCACCACAGACATGCCAAAAGCCACATCCCCTTTTAGCAAAACAGCCTTCATTCTGCAGTCAAACCAGCTGAACAAAATCCAACTCCTGGCCCCTCCTCCACAGCACTGAAGCCAGAGAAAGGCAAATTCACAGAGCAGCACCTTCGAAGAGGCTGTGGGTCGGTTTCCAGCACACGAGGGGGCTGGTGCTGCAGAGATCAGGGGCTCTACAGCTGAGTAAAATGGAGGTGAGGAGGAGGAAAAGCAAGCCAGCTGACTTGAAAAGAAACCTTTAGCGTCCCCTGCCATGTTTGGTCACATTACATCACGGCTGTGATGCCTTATTGTCAGCTGCGCTGCACATGCATGATGCCCCCCCGCCTTTGTTTCTGTTGGCATGAGGCTGCTTGGCCCTTGAATCAGACTGTTTCATACCAATAGATGTAGGGGGTTGGATATGAGCTTAAAAGCCGGCTCCCTACGAGCACCGGCTCCCGCTGCCTCCCTGCATGTAAATATATGTTAACATAAGAATGGCCATACAGGGTCAGACCAAAGGTACATCTAGCTCAGTATCCTCTCTGCCAACAGTGGCCAATACCAGATGCCTCAGAGAGAGGGAACACAATAGGTAATCCTCACATGATCTCTCCCCTGTCATCCACTTCCAGAGAAACACAGTCTAGGGAAACTATTCCTACCCATCCTGGCTAATAGCCATTGATGGACCTAATCTCTATGAATCTATCTAGCTTCTTTTTGAACCCTGTTAAAGTTCTAGCCTTCACCACATCCTCTGGCAAGGAGTTCCACAGGTTGACGGTGTGCTGAGTGAAGAAAAACTTCCTTTTGTTTGGTTTAAACCTGCTGCCTATTAATTTTGTTTGGCAACCCCTAGTTCTTATATAGTAGGAATAAGTAAATAACTTTTCTTTGTTCACTTTTTCTACACCAGTCATGATTTTATAGACCTTTGTCATATCCCCCTTAGTCTTCTCTTTTCTAAGATGAAAAGTCCAAGTCTTTTTAATCTCTCTTCATATCGGACCCATTCCAAACCCCTAATCATTTTTGTTGCCCTTTTCTGAACCTTTTCCAATGCCAATATATCTTTTTTGAGATGAGGCAATCACATCTGGATGTAGTATTCAAGATATGGGCGTATCATGGTTTTATACAGAGGCAATAAGATATTTTCTGTCTTATTCTCTATCCCTTTTTGAACATCCCTATGTGCCTCGTGAAAGGCAGCTGACCATGGCAGCAGTGTTGCCAGAGTGCAGATGGAGGAGAGATGAGGTATTATGTCCAGTCCCTTTCATTTCTATGGGAAACCCATGTGCTTCACATGCGCTAGATGCCAAGCAGCACTATGATATGGTCACCTCCCTGCTGGGAGGCTGGCATGTGGCATGCTACATGAGTGGGGAAATTCAGGCCATGGACACCGGAGCAAACATCTGCTCTGACAAAAGTACTCTGGGATGCTTACTGCCTCCACAGGGCACTGGTGGTTCCATAAGGTCTGAGCCGAAGGAGACAGACCCAGTAGACCACATGGAACTCAACTCCTGAAGGACAGAGTCGATCCGACCACGACCTAGCCTGGCTTCCAACCTGCTGTGTCCGAGGGGGGGCTTGCACCCAGTGCCAGCCTGAACCTGCCACAGCAGGGGTGCTCCTACCCCCCCTTCCCAGCTCCAACCCAGCCCCCGCTTGAACCTGCCAGAGCCAAGGGAGCGGCACCTCTCCTGCAACCCCAGGGTGGTCACAGTGGGGAGAGGCACCTCTCCCCACAGCCCTGTTGCTGCTGTAAGGAGAAAGAGCTGGGGCGGGGAGGACATCCTCTCTCCTCGCAGTATACCCGGAGCAGCCTTCTTTACCCCAAACCTTGCAACCCAGCCCCACCCTGGAGCCTGCACCCCCAGGCAGAGCCCTTGCACCTCAGCCTTTTGCCCCTCGCGAACGCGCGCACGCACGCACACACACACACACACACACACACTCTCTCTCTCTCTCTCTTTGAGCCCCTTGGCCCCACCCATGCCACAGGAATGTTATGTGCACCAACAGGAAGGTGAAGTGTCACACACCACGTCTGTCGTGGTGCACCGAACAAAACTCATTCCACACAGGGGTGGGAAAAATGAGAGGGAACACTGGTCTGCTCTAGTGCCGAGCCATGGTACCCCTCGGTTTGGCAGTTCATAGTCCCAGCACCTCCGAGCTTGCTGTGTCAGTTGTAAAAAAGCCCCAGCACCTTTTCCATTACAGGCTAAGCAAATGTCCGCTCCAGCATGACACCTGGCTGAGCTGAGAAACAGGCACTAGAGTTGCAGCATCAGATGCTTCCACTCCTAAAATGTTTCCTCTCTGGCTTTCTGCTGCTCAGGGAAAATGCCACACGCTTCCTAGTCTGCACACGGCCCTATTAGTCCCACGTGTACATTTTACTGAACAGGATCACAAGAAAAAACTTCCTTTCCCAATTGTAGGAGCCATTAAATTAAGAAAGGACAAGGTTAAACAGGGCTGGACCACAACATTTTGGCACCTGAGGCAGTAGCTCAAATGACGTCCCCAGGCCTCCTTTTCTCCTGCCTGCCTGTTAGTTCTCTTGTGCCCTCCTTCCTCCAGCACAGCACGCCACCATCTCTGTGCATCTAGAGCAGAGAGAATACATATGCACCAGCAGCAGACACAATTTTCTACACCCTGGGTCCTAGTGGCGCCCTCCGCAGTCTGGCACCTGAGGCGGCCACCTCAGTTCGCCTCATGGTAAGGCCAGCCCTGAGGTTAAAGGCACACTAATCTCCCCTTGTGCAGCAGGCTAGATGGCTTTCCTGGGTTTGTTTCTGGACAGCCATCACCTCAGGGCATAGCAATCCTTTGCAGGCTAGATGGCTTTCCTGGGTTTGTTTCTGGACAGCCATCAGATCAGGGCATGGCAATCCTTTAGAGGAAGGACTACATCTCCCAGAGGGCATTGCACAATGCAATTTCTTATTCCCCATCTCCCTGCCCTCTTGCCTGCCAGCTAGCTTTTATTTCTCTGGCTTCTGTTTCACTCCCTCCCCTAGAACTTTAATTACACTACTGATACAACTTTCCTTTGAGTCCACAGCGTGGGCCAGAGGAGATACGAGCATGGAAGTTGGAGCCACAGGTCTGGATTTCGTTATCTGTCCCGTGACCGCTGAATAACCAAGCCTTCTGGTTAATGCTAAGGGGAAGAGAAAAATGCTTGCAGGGGCATTCGCTTGAGTAAGACATTTTCTTTTCAGCTTCCTGTGTGTTTGTTGCCTCTGGCTAACACAGGCACTGGAGGGAGAACATGGAAAGCATCTTCTGTCACGAACATCGCTTTTGCGTTTTAAGTTAAACAGGACTGATCTTGTTCCCTGTCTACCGGGATTTTCTTTCATGCTGACATCTCTGTAAGAAAGTCACCAGCGTGCATGGTTAAAGCATCTCTCGAAATTCCTCAGTGATCTACAGCTTGGGAAGAACCTGGCATCTAAAAATTGTACTGACCTGACAACAGCACGTTCATTGCACTGCTTTGCAAACAGCAGAGAACACAACACTAAATACAACGTATTCCAAATGAACCCTGACAGAGCTGGCCCATGCTAATACAAGCTGCTTCTATGCATTAGCTGGTGTATTATTGGACATGCCCAGGT